AGAGTGAAACAGTGAGTGAATGAGAGAGTGAGTGAATGTCCCAGTGAGTGAGAGTGAGGCAGTGAGAGAGTGAGAGAGTGAGGCAGTGAGTGAGAGAGACAGAGTGTGAGACAGTGAGTGAGACAATGAGTTAGTGAGAGAGTGAGTGACTGAGACAGTGAGAGTGAATCAGTGAGTGAGTGAGGCAGTGAGCAAGTGAAGCAGTGAGTGAGTGGGTCAGTGAGAGAGTGAGTGAGTGTGCCAGTGAGTGAGAGTGAGACAGTGAGTGAGTGAGGGGGCAGTGAGAGAGTGAGACAGTGAGTGAGTGAGTCAGTGAGAGTCAGGCAGTGAGTGAGGCAGTGAGCAAGTGAGGCAGTTGAGTGAGAGTGAGGCAGTGAGTGAGTTTTTTAAAGCATTTTCACTGGCACCTAATCCGCACAGACAGTTCTCAAAGAGCTATAATGCTCATAGCAGACCCTTTTTAAAAAAAAAAAACGAACTTGTTACTTTAAACTGTTGTTTGGTTTTGAGATGACTGCAGTGGATATTTTTGGCTTAAGGTTGCAAGCTTTTCTGGGCTGCAGTTGCAGGTATGTATCTACCTTCCATGACTCCAGGAAGTCCATGAAAACTTGAAATTCTGCATTTCCCTTCTTTGACCAAGATTCTTCTGTGGAGTTTTTTTAATCAAAATGTTCAGAGTAGTCGGGCACCGTCCAGTTCTTGTGGTCTCATGGCAAAGGAGGCAGTTGTTAATGGGGACAGTTAGCTACCGACTCCCCCTCTTCCTCTTGTTCCTGGGGGCTCCTCCTCCTGTTGCTGCTCCAGGTGACTTTAGACACCAACTGTTGTGCATTGGATGGCCACTAGAAGCTCAGTACATGGAGGTAAAGTAGCAGCACCATGAATTTTATGAGAGCAGTTAATTGTGATGTCCCATGAAACCAGGACGCTAAACCTCTCAACCAAGGAACCAATCCCATGAGGTATTTAATCGTACACAAGCAGTTCCTCTCTTCTTTTATATCATTGTGATAAAGCCTCCCACTCCTCACTTATCAACGTGGTTAGGTTGCCATGTGAAAATCGGTGCTCTGCAAAGGGAGATGACCACCGCGTCAGCTCACAAAATGTAGGATGACTGCAGGTATCATTGCATAACGACAAAATCACCTCCTTGCATAACTACCAAATCATGGCTTTACATAACTGAAAACCACTGAGAATCATGGCCCGGCCAAGGACAGCCTTAAACACCGACCTTGCACCTTGGCGTTTGTTACTGCCAGACATCCATTGCACTAAGTGGTTGGATGGTACATTTTCACTGTTGTAAATGTGAACTCCCCGATTATTAGATAGCTGATAAGTGAGGGTTGGGGATGTATCTGTAACACAGCTTTTACCAGTTCAACTTTCACAGATGTACAACTTACTGACAGCAAGTAAACTAGTCGGCAGTGCAATCCGACCTTTAATCGATATATTTTCATCACCATGAGCCCTGCGCTGCTCCACCCCTTTCCCTCCAGGTGACCACCTGGTGACCACCAGTACACTTTGGTCTCTTCTTTGGCCTTTTCTTACCTTTTTGTATAAGTGCGGTCACACAGTGTTTTGCCCTTTTAGGATTGGCTGATTTCACTCAATATAATATTGTACAACTCTATCTGTATTGTAGCATACGAGGGGGCTTCAAAAAGTTTGTGGGAAAATGGAATTAAACATAATGGAATGTTTCCATGAGGTTTGAAGCCCTCTTGTTCATCAAGATTTCATTTCTCTTACTGGCTGCATGTACCTCATTTTGTTTATCCTTTTTTCTGTCAATGGTTGTTTAGATTGCTTCCACGTTTTAGTTATTGCGACTTGTGCTAACTGAACATTGGTGTACAAGCCTCTTTGAGTCCCTGCTCCCAAGTCTTTTGGGAGCATGTCTGGGAATGGACTTGCTGGGTCACCTGGTAGTTCTATATTTAGTTTTGTGAGAAACTTCTCCTCACGTTGCCTCATCAGCAGCAATGGAGGCGTTCGAATTTCCCTACATCTTTGCCAACCAACATTGGTTATTTTCTATTTTTAATTTTAGCCTTTTGTTGTTTGGGACTCTTAGTCAGTTCCGGCTCATAGCAACACTGTGTACACCAGAACGAAACACCACCAGGTCCTGTGCCGTTCTCTCAGTTGTTCTCATGTTGGAGTCCATTGTTTGAACCACTGTGTCAGTCCATCTTATTGAGGGCTTTCCTCCTTTCCGCTGCCCCTCTACCTTACCAAGCATGCTGTCCATCTCCAGACAATAGCCTCTCCTGATAACATGTCCAGAGTATGTGAGATGAAGGCATGCTTTTTGTTGTCTCTGTTCTTGCACGGCCTGAACTGGGCTGAGACGTACTGTGCTACTTCTGCCCCACTTTCTGCTCCCCACCCCAGCTGGCGCCCACTGTATGGTAGAGCTCAGATGAGTCATGGCCCTTGGTACACGCTGCTTGTTCTTGGTGAGCGCATGTCTCACATGTTCTCCTCTGCAGGGCTCATCGAGGGGTTTAAAGAAGAGAGGGCAGACCTGCAGGCGACGATTGGTCAGAAGGAGCAGTCCGAGCAGCTCCTGGTGTTGGAGCTGGAGCAACTGAGCCTACAGCTCCAGAAGGCAGCCTGTGAGCAGGCGCAGCTGAAGGAGGAGTGCACTGCCCTGCAGAGCCAGATGGAGGCCCTTGCTGCCAAGGCACAGGAGAGAGAATCTGGTAAGAGATGCTGGCTGTTGAGCGCTGACCTTCTGAGCTCCCGCAACGTGGGCTTCAGGCTCTTCCCTTTTCTTTGTGAACTTTGGGCATGCTTGGTTAGCAAGCCTCTTTCAACGTCTTGGGATTTTCTCCAGAAGGAATGGGTGTGTGCGTCTTTCTCCTGTCCCTCCCCAATGCTGCGGTTGGGTGCTGTCTGTGGCCAGGCAGAGACTTTGGAAGCAGTCGGGGACCAGGTGATTGTGGCCATTCAAGGGGTCAGTGCTTCAGAGGAGCTCACAGTCTTTGGATAGATATGTTGCTCCTCTGCACAGGTACCTGGCTTGGCTTTCCTGTAGTTGCTGAGGACCTTTATGTGTCCTGGGAGCCCTGAGCCTACATCTCTTGTGGTGACCTTGTAGCCCTTGAGGTAGCCTCGGACATGGGGCCCACTCCACCCCAACCTGTCATCTGGGCGATGATGCTGCCTGGGGTACTGACAGAAGGGCAGGGGCAGCTTGTCCTCATGCTACCCCACTGCAGGGGTGCTCCAGGCCACGCACCCTACCTGGGACCTGGGCGCCTCCAGGTGGTCCCCCATGTTTTATGGGTCCCTCCTTTTATCTTAGCTACATGTATTGTCATCACTTAACCGAGAGTTGGAAATGACTGTTTCTGGACTGTGAACTTCCCTTCTCCTCCTTGGTCCCATTGAACAGTTTATGCCAAAGTCCTGAGGCCAGAGCCTCCTCAGTGCTTTAAGAACAGAGGGTGAACTGTGAGGATGGGCTCACTGTCTCAGAATTATCTGATGCCAAACCTTCCCCAGAGTCTGCTCCTGATGCTGTCCCTCCTCTTGTTCCTGAACTCTGTACTCGAGGTCATGCATTCGCCTCGGTTTATTTCTGTAAATGTGTGTGTGTTTTGATTCATAGGCATTCCTGTCACTGTAGCACAAAAGGCTTCAGGTTTGTAAAATGGATGAACGATCTCTGTGTGCTTGGTGCCTGCTGTAGAGTGTGTAGACGGACGATTCGCTGACGGGCAAAGTGCCTCAGTGTTTGCGGCAGACGGGGTACCTTTTGTCGGCATGGCGCCTTCACCAGCGAGCTTGTGTGGATAGTGCTCTCTAAGCCTCCTTGCTGCTGCTGTCACTCAGCTGTGCTCTGTGCGTGCTGTGTGTCGGCGGCATGGCTTGGGGGTCCTGAGGAGCTCTTAGATTGGGTTCTGGCCCTGCACGTCTCCTCGTCCCCTGTGAGGTGGGGAAGCCTGCAGCCCAAGCTCCAGCTGGTCCTGGGTCACGTGCAGTGGTGCCATTGCTTGAGTGCATGTGCCCCTTGATACATGGTGGGAGGTGACACTGTCTTCCTCAAGCCAAGGGAGCTTGCTGGTCTCCACGCTGATGCACCCTCCCCGTTAAAGGCACTCCATGGCTGTAATTCCACACCTTGAGGTCATTAAGCTGCGTGCTTGATGCTAATTTACCATCATAAATTTTGGGGTATTGGCATGAGTATTTATGGAAAGGATTGTATTAATGGTAGCGATTCCTCATTGCTATTGAGTCAATTCTGACTCGTGGCGACCCTACAGGACAGAGTAAAGCTGCCCCACTAGGTTTCCGAGACGTAAAGCCCCATCTTTCTCTCACAGAGTGGTTAGTGATTTTGAGTTGCTCAAACCTCTGGTAGCAGCTGACATGTAACCCACCACCCCACCAGAGTTTGTCATGAAAGAGTAACACAGAGTTTCACAAGCAAAATAAGTTTGAAAGCTGGTGAAATAGAACTGAAATCGTTTCAGTTCTTGGGTAATTTGATAGTCCAGGGTTCATCAAAGGTAAAAGTGACAAGACCGTGTTCTGCCAAAGGTGGAAAACAAGGCCAGCCCAGTGAGTTCCGTTTGCATGCTCCTGGTTTATGGTTTCCTCTTGAGTTGAAGTTCATTCAGACTTGTCCCTTGACGTGTGGACTAGTGTGAGCTTCACTGCCCCGTCAGTCTTAGGTCGGCTTCTGAGGACTCACAGCTGATTAACTTTTCCTTCAAGAGGCTGTTGCAGCCCTGAGCACCCAGCGGGGGCCCTTACGGTAAATGGACGTGCTCTTAGTGGACATGGTCATGGGTTCACATCCAGGGTGGTTTCCTTACTGGTGGGTACACGTGAAGACGTCACTCCTGACAGTTGCTGGTATGTTGTCTGGAACTGCCCAGATGGGTTGTTCCCAGACTGCGCACACTGCTGTTTTAGGCTGTTGTTCTTGAGAAGGTGTGATTTTTTTTGGCCTGAGTAATTTGCATCTGTGCTTGATACACAATGGCAGGTTAGTTGGGTGCTGGCCTGGCCTTGGGGGCAGACCCTGACGCCTTGTGTGCACGGAACCCCTTTTGCTTGCTGGTTCATCAGGAAGAAGGGAAAACATGAGGGGATGGGCAGGGGCAAGGTAGCACCTGTGCCGGCTGGTTTGGAACTCCTTTGGAGCTCACCTGCACCCAGCCAGGGCTTGGTCTTGGCTTCCATGCCTTGGCTGCAAAGGAGTCTTGACAGTCCTAATTGCATCGGAGTTATCTCTCAGCCTGTTGCATCTGAGTCCACTGTGTAGGAAGGATACTTACTCCCTTGGCAGTCACAGGTGACCCCACTCAGCGGAGTCTACCTGTTTGTCCCCACATCTGCCCGGCAGTCCCGCTTCACTCCCCAGGATGGTGTCTGCCCCACTCCACATTGGTCCTTACAGTAGCTGTCAGCCCTACGTGGTGGAGTCTGCCTCCCCATTTGGCCAGTAGTCCTTGTCAACCCAGCGTGGTATCTCCATATTGGTCCTGGAAGTCACTGGGCAGCCATGAGCATTTAAGTCAATTCTCCTATTTCCACGTTGGTTCCGGCAGTCACCATCAGCCACACAGTGAAGTCTGTCTGTCTCCACCCCAATTGTGAGAGTCACTGAGTGGCTCTGTATGGCACAGACTGCCTGTCTCCACTTCTATCAGGCAGCTGGTGGGCAGTGCCACTTGCTTCCAGGATATGCCAGGGGCGTTTTCCTCCATGTCTGTGTTCTGGGCATCCTAGGTCTCCAGAAGGAAGTGGAGTGTCTAACAAAGGAGCAGTTGGAGACTACGAAGCAGTCTGAGAAGGACCGAGCCGCTCTGCTCTCGCAGCTGCGGGTGCTGGAGTCGGAGTTGGAGGAGCAGGTGTCCCAGCATCAGGCGTGTGCCCAGCATGCCGAGGAGGTTGTCGCCCTGAAGCAGCAGATGGCTTCACTGGACAAGCACCTGCGCAGCCAGCGGCAGTTCATGGATGTAAGTCTGCATCGCACTGAACACCTTCATTCCCCCAGAACTCCTACGTGTTTTCCGTGTTCTTGCCCTGGGCCTGCGGGAGAGCACAGCTTTTTGTGCATTGCGCTGGGTCCCAGGGGCTCATAGACCATAAATTCATTCTCTTCAGGCTGAGAGGCCGAGATCAGAGTGTTGGCCCGTGAATTCCTAAGAATTCTGTTCCTTGCTTGCTCTCTCTGCTTCTGGCGACAGCAGTGACCCCAGTCATGCAGACTTTGTCTTCACATGGCCATCTTCCTGTGTGCTTTCTCTTTCTCTTCTCCTTTTAGAAACACACTAGTCTTAGAGAATTCAGGCCAACTTTCCTGTAGTTCCTAAAGGTTTCCTCCCCGCTCCCACTACCATGACTCGAATTCTATCTTGCAAGACTGGCTAGACCAGAGGATGTACACTGGTACAAATAGGAGCTGAAAATACAGGGAATCCAGGACGGATGAGCCCTATAGGACCAGTGGTGTGAGTGGCAAAACGGGGAGGGTAGAGGGAGAATGGGTAGGAAAGAGGGAACCGATTACATGGAACTGTGTGTGACCTCCTCCCTGGGGGACAGACAGCCGAGGAGTGGATGAAGGGAGACGTCGGACGGGGCAAGATATGACAAAATACTCATTTATAAACTATCAAGGGCTCATGCGGGAGCGGGGAGCGGGGAGGGAGGGGAAAAATGAGGACCTGATGTCGGGGGTTTAAGTGGAGAGAAAATGTTTTGAGAAACGATGTACAAATGCGCTTTACACAATTGATGTGTGTATGGATTGCGATAACAGTTGTATGAGCCCCTAATAAAATATTAAAAAAAAAAAGAGAATTCAGGCCCACCCTCTCCATTGTGACCACTTACTAACTAACTGGTAACATCTTCAAAAACCCCTATTTCCAAACAAAATCATGTTCACAGGTATGGGGGTTAGAATGTCAACTTATCTCTTTGGAGGGCACAGTTCACTCCATACCATCTTCCAAATACCTGTTTTTAACGTTACTATGAAGCAATTTCAAACTTATTCCAAGTAGAAAAGTAATACAGAAAATGCCCGTACAGCCTTCACTCAGATTCATCTGATCCTAAGCCAGCTACCTCAGGATTTGTAGGTATAGATCACAGGTGTGTGTACTCACACACACTGTATTTTACTGAGCCACTGGACTATAAGTGGGCAATCTGCCTTTGCCTCTATAGCTACCCTGTTTCCCCGAAAGTAAGACATCCCCCGAAAATAAGACCTACTTACAGTTTTGCCTCTCGCTGAAATATAAGGCATCCCCCTGAAAATAAGACCTCCCCAGAAATAAGGCCCCCGAAGCTACCGTTTAGTAACTCTGGACTCTGGACCGTAGCAGTGGGCGCCACCACGCAGCTCACTGTTGGTCGCAGTGCAGCTGGAGCAGACAGGAAGTGCAAGGTCTCTTTTAATAAAACAATAAACAATAAATGTGTGCCATATTCTTCTTCATGGAAAAATAAAACATCCCCTGAAAATAAGACCTAGCACATCTTTGGGAGCAAAAATTAATATAAGACACTGCCTTATTTGGGGGGAAACAGTATTTAAATACACATTTTCTAAGGACTTGGGCATTCTCTTTACTAATGACGGTATGATAATGAGGATAAGAAAGTTTCACCTCTGTGGTGCTGCTCCCTAGCACACATGCCATCCCCTCCACGCTCCATTGTGCATTTAGCCCCTGCACTTAAAGTTCTTTCCTGAGAGAGGTCACTGTCATGGGAGGTGTGGGCTCTGAGGTTACTTTGTCCCTCACTTGGGCATCAGATTCTGCTGGATGGTTGCTAGGAAGGAAGACAGGGAGGGTGTGGCAGCTGCTTTGATGCCATTATCAAGATCTGCAGCCCTGGCTGATCACTTCATGGGGGTGTTAGCCAGCCTTCTTCACAAACTTACTATCACATCCTGTGAAGTATTTTCATTTGGCATATAAATTATGCAGATTTCTTAGGAAATTATAGTGATCAAAACAAAGACTATAAAACCTTATGTAATGCTGCCACCCATCAAATACTGTCTTATGTGACGGGAGTTTGGGGTTTTTTAGATATTCTGTTCATAATTCATGGGGATCCCATGTATATCAGAGTAGAACTGTGCTGCCTAGAGTTTTCAGTGGCTGTTTTCCCAGAAGCAGATCATGATGTTTTTCTTCTGAGACACCTCTGGGTGTACTTGAACTTCCAACCTTCGATTAGCCAAGAATATTATTAACCATTTATACTACCTAGGGTGCTTAAGTGGGTAAAACAACAAGAACATAAACATGTTTTTAATGAACAAAATTGAAACAAGTGCACTGTAACTTGTGTTTTATAGCATGTCTTTTATTTGCTATAACTTGAATTTCCTTACTGGGTTTTTTTTGCCTTCTCTTTCACCTAGTTAACACCTGCCTACTCTCTAGCCAGTAACTTTTCCTCTCATCTCTCCCACCCTTGGTAACCATCAAAGAATGTTTTCTTTTTTTAATCATTTTATTGGGGGCTCAAACAACTCTAATCACAATCCATACACACATCAGTTATGTAAAGTACATTTGTACATTCATTGCCTTCATCATTCTCATCACATTGGCTCTCCACATAGGCCCCTGGCAAAGAATGTTTCTATTTGGGTGAAAACCTTTTCTTGACTTTTATAAAAATACCTCTTAAAATATTTGGCCTTCTCTGATTGACCTTTCCCACTCAGCATAGAATGAAGTTGGGATCAAGGTTGAAATTGCAGCTTATCTAGAGGCTGCTTTGGTTGTATGACATTTTCACAATCTTAACCCTTACTCTCCATGACCATGGTATGTTCTGTCTGTGTAAGCCTCTGGGTTTCTTAGGGCATTGCTTCTATAGTGTTTTTGTTTCTCTTGTTAGATTAAGTCCTAAGTATTTAAGCTTTTGTACTGTTGTAAATGGATTGTTTTCTTGATTTCCTTTTTCTAGTTCTTTGTTATTGTAAAGGAGGCCAATTGACTTTTGTATGCTTCTTCTTTGCCAGTTTGGATGCCCTTTTATTTCTCATTCCGGCTAAGACTTTTAGCAGGTATTGACCCGGAGTGGTGTTAACGGCATCCTTGTCTGCTTCCTGTCAGCTAGGGGAATGCGGTTACTCTCTCTTTAGATGAATGCTCTTGCTTTTGTATACATGCCCTTAAGTATATTGAGGATTTGCCCTTCATTTCCAATTTTGTTATCAAGACTGGGTGATGGAGTTTGTCAGATGACTTTTCTGCATTGATGTGATCATGTAGTTTGTCCCCACTTTGTTGTATTTCTATTGTGGATTACATTGATTGCCTTTCTAATGTTGAAGCATCCTTGCATACCTGGAATGAATTCCACTTGGTGGTGATGTTGTTATATATTGTTGGTTCTGTTGAGAATTTTTGCACTATGCTCGTGAGGCACATTTGTCTATAGTTTTCTTTTTATATGATGTCTCTGCTAGTTTGGGGATCAGAGTTCACTTGCTTCATAAAATGGATCTAGGGGATTTTCACCCTTTTCTGTCTTTTGAAATCATTCAAATAGAACTGGTGCCAACTCTTCTCTCAATGTGTGGTGGAATTCATCTGGGCTAGGACTTCTTTTTCCACGGGATTTTTTTTTTAAGATCACTTTATTGGGGGCTCTTACAGCTCTTTTAACAATCCATATTTCAATTGTAGCAAGCATTTTTGTAGTTGCCATCATTATTTTCTAAACATTTACTTTCTATTTGAGCCCTTGGTATCAGCTCCTCTTTTTTTTCTCCCTCCCTCCTACCCTGTGACCCCTTAATAAATTATAAATTATTAGTACTATCATATCTTACACCGACTGCTGTCTCTTTTCCCCCACGGTTTCTTCCCCTCCTCCTCTACCCTCTTTCCCCCTACCCTCCTGGTATCGCTGCTCCCATTTCTGTTCCTGAGGGGTTTATCTGACCTGATTCCGTGTGCCCTGAGCTCTTCTCTGTACTCATGTATGTGCTCTGGCCTAGCCCACAGTGAAAGGCAGGGCTGGGGTCGTGATTGTGGGGGGTGAAGAAGCCTCAAGGAACCAGAGGCATATTGTGTGTTTCATCAGTGCTATACTGCACCCTGGTTGACTCTTCCCTGCCTCGTGACCCTTCTGTGAGGAGATGTCCCATTGTCTACAGATGGGTTTTGGGTCTCTGCTCTCACCTACCTCGTTCTAAACAGTATGTTTGTTTTGGGTCTTCTGATACCTGTTACCTGATCCCGTTGACATCTCATGATCACACATGCTGGTGTGCTTCTTCTGTGTGGGCTTGTTGCTTGTCAGCTAGATGGCCACTTGTTTAACTTCAAGCCTTTAAGACCCCAGACTCTGTATCTTTTGATAACTGGGCACCATCAGCTTTCTTCACCACATTTGCTTATGCACCCATTTTATCTTCAGCAATCGTGCCGGGAGGGTGAGCATCACAGAATGCCAGGTTGTTAGAACAGAGTGTTCTTGCGTTGAGTGAGGGCTTGAGCAGAGGGTACTGGGAACTTTTTTCTTTTTTTCTCATGTTCAAATTTTCTACTTTAGTGTGTGTGTCAATTTATCACATGAACTACTTTCACTGAAGAAGTGTTTTCAGGGTGACTATGAAGTATGTAATATTCCCTTGTCATATCATAATCATATATTGGCTGTCTCTTGGCACGTTTGTTCTATGTTCCTGGAATATTTCCCTCAGGTGTATCCTGAGACCTGTACTCTTAGACAGTTCTCTGCATGTCATTTTCTGTGTAGTCATCAGTGTTTCAGAACTGGTGCTGCCTTGTGGAAAGGACCATTACTCTTTATTTACCCTGATGTACAAAAATTATGCTGATACAGTGTTGGATGGGCAGTAACTGGGTTCAGACCATGGAGGCATGATGCTTTGCCAATGCTAGATCCTTCCCCTAATGTCATGACCCTCAGGGTCCCTGGAAAGTAGGTTGACATGTCCTGGGGAACATACAGACTTACATGGCTGTAAACTCTGCCATTGCACCTGGAAAGAGGAGGTCTCACACCTGCTTTCTCAATAGGAGCAGGCAGCGGAGCGGGAGCACGAGCGAGATGAATTCCAGCAGGAGATCCAGAGACTGGAGGGACAGCTACGGCAGGTGGCCCGGGCCCAGGCCACGGACGCCCAGTTGAGCCACGTAAGTGCATAGCCATGGAGCCTGCGGACATTGATGGCATGCGCCAGGATACTGTCAGCCTTACTTTCTCATATTTTCCTTCCATGTCCATGAAAACGGCAGAGTGAGCAGCCAAGTGAAGAGGTAAGGACAGAGCCCCACCTCCCACTACCCCATAGCCCTTATCCAGGGTCTCTCGTGGACAAGGCTGTGAATGGACCAGGACCAGCCTTGCCTCACACTTGTTTTTCGGGATATCTTTTCCTTGGGACTATAACTGTCTGAATCTTGTTGTCTGATAGAATAATAATTAGTTTGCTTTTTTTTTTTTAGTTAATCTTTTATTGGGATAATTAAAGACTTACATGCAGTTATAAGGAATAATACAGAGATTCCATGTACCTTTACCCACTTCCTCACAATGGTAACATCTCAGAAAAGCAAGGGCCCAGGATCATGGACACCCAATGAGTGAAGATAGAGAGCATTCCATCCCCATTATCCACTTTCCTCCCACAACCATATCCTCCTTAGCTCCTGGCCAACACTCAGCTGTTCTCCATTTCTGAAATCATGCCGTTTCAGGAATATTATTGATAAATGGAATTATGTAGTGTGTGACCTTTTGAAATTGACTATTTTGCATAAAGACACATCCATATTTAAGGGGGCTTCAAAAAGCATGTGGGGAAATTTAATTATCTTTTAACTCTATTTCTGCCATGAAGTTTTTGAAGTTCCCTTATATCAGCAGCTGTCACATATCAGTACTCTGCTCCTTTCTGTTGCATGCAGCCATGCACCTGTTGATGACACCTGAGTGCTGACTATGTTTTGGCAGGAATGTGTGAGGGACCCCCTTGTTCCCTACCTCTCTGTCCATAGAAGTATTTTGAAATGATGCCCAAATACCATATCAATAAGCTGTTTTAAAAATCTGTGAAGATCTTTTTTCTTTTGTTCAACACAACTCATTGCCATTATTTGTACCCTCTCCACACACATACACCCCCCCCCAAAAAAAAAAAACAGAAAGAAAAAAGCTTTCACATTATTAGCAAGCACTAAGTCCAGACCCCTCAAACTGTTACTATCAACTTGGGACGGAGATGGTACCATGTGTTGAGTGTTAAGCTGGCGCGATATTGCTCGTGCAAACATCTGCGCTACCCAAAAATCCCAGCTCCAGTCCCCTGCTGCCCAAGGATATTTTAGTTTCAGGACACATTTTGCTTCCTGCTGGGTCCCCAGTGGGAAACACCTAGAGTGTGTCTCCTTTCACCACTGATGCACACTTCTTTTTTGGAAGCCAAGTGTTTTTGTTTCTAGGGTTCTCTGGTGTTCACGTTTGGTGGTTGTTTTAGGTTGAGTTGTTACAGAAAACGTTAAGGGAAAAGTCAGATGAGTTCACCGAGTTGGCTGTGAAGAAGGAGCTGGCTGACAGGCGGCTGGCAGTGCAGCAGGAGGAGGTGCAGCGCCTCGAGGCGGCAGTTACTGAGGCCGGCAAGAGGGTGACCCAGCTCCAGGAAGAACTGGAGACACAGAAGAGAATTGGGGAAGAATTACAGCAGGTGAGCACCCCTCTGTCTTAGATGAGGGTTTTTTCCTTTCTCATGGGCACCCATGTAGCACTTGTTCAGGACAGATGTGGGGCATGAACTGGTCTGCCTTGCTCTCTCAGAGGCTTGTATTTGCCCCAGTGAGAAGTGTACCAGCATATGGGACCATGTGTACTTTTCAGACATGCTGAAGAGCTGGTTACAATGATTTTAACCTTTTGAGTTTATGAATTTATATCTGCTTCCCAAGGAAAATCTCTCCAATGATAGTCTTTAACGTGATTTAACTTGGTATTCTGAGCTTATAATGTTTCTTGTTTGCGTATCTGAATATTTAAGCTGCATCTAAGAGGCTGAACCTGAGTTATATCATCTTATGGTTTGGTGGATGGTGGCCTGGCCTGGTGAGATGCTTAAACTCCTTTATATCTCCATTAAGCAATTTTTTCCTTCTGTTTGAGCACTTGGTTAAAGGGGATTTAAATTTTGACTGTTTGTAGTAGAACGTTAAAAGGTTACTTCAATGGGTGAAACTGCTTAGTCAGCAAATTTACAGTCAGTAGTTTGGTCACAAGTCACAAGCGTACTTCAAGGACGATCTCAATGTCTCAGTGGCTGCTAGATTCATGACTACTTCATGTGTGTCAAAGGAGAACATTCAGTGAGGTTTTAGTAGCTGGTTTTCAGCAGTAAATGGCCAGACCTTCGGAGGTGCCTTTGGATGGATTCAAACTTCCAGTCTTTTGGTTAGTAGCTGGGCCCACGAAACCTGTGTCCTCTCCAGGGCCTCCTTGATGGCACTAGGAGAGCGTCTGTCAGATGCGTCTGATTCTCGTAAACGCTGACGGGGACCTTTGTGTGAGTTCAAGTTTCTCTCTTGAGGCCGTGCTGTGTTTCCACTGTGCCATCTTGGGGTAGAACACCTAGCACCCGACCCCACCCTCTAGTGTCTTCACTAGAGGGATGCTTTGCCCCTACATGAGCCATTTCCCATCATGGGTCCATTTCCACTTGGGACTGCTTCACTCATTCACCCACGTTTGTTCCCTCATTTGTTTACTTGTTCCTCCATTTACTCACACATTCATTTGTTTAGTCACTTGTTCATTCACTCATTTACTTCTTCCCTTGTTCACTCCTTCTGCCACTCACGCCTTCCGCCAGCAAACACTTCTTGAGCTTATTAATAGCTAAGAAGGTGATTGCTTCTCCTTTGTCTTGAAAGCCTTGAGTGTTAAGGACGGAAAGTCCCTTTTTCATCCATGAAGTTGGAGCAGCACTGTAGCCTGTTCCCATTTGATATTTGCCTTTTCAAAATATATGCCAAATGTTTTTTGAAAACTGATAATATTCATTGTATGATCCACCATTAATTTTTTTAACCCCCGCACCCCCCTTCCACCATTAATCTTAAGCTCCATTCTTTGACCAAGTCTTTCCAATTTTTTTAATTGGTAATAATTCAGTGCATATTATTGTGCCTGGTTGAAGAGATTCTGATCATGAGCCATCACCACGGTGCCACATCCACGCTTGTTTTCTCCGCAGACTAGGAGCACTTTCACACGTGTTTTCTTGGCAGAGCTCAGGTGCTGTGGTGGTTGTGCTGGGGAGTCACAGGTGCTACAGGGGTGGAGATGAGCCGGGGAATCAGAGAGGAAGTGTGTGCACTGAATGCTGGGCTGTAGGCAGAGCTGAGGATAACAGATGTCTTCAGAGACAGCAGTGCGAGGTGCCTAGTTTCATTAACATTTGCCTAACATAGTAAGATTTTTTTAAAATTAATCATTTTATTGGGGTCTCTTACAAATCTTATATAACAATCCATTATTCAATTGTATTAAGCACACTTGTACATATGTTGCCATTAACATTTTCAAAATATTTTCTTTAAAAAAAAATCATTTTATTGGGAGCTGTACAACTCTTATCACAATCCACACATCCATCCATTGTGTCAAGCACGTTTGTGCATTTGTTGCCATCATTATTTTCAAAACATTTTCTTCCTACTTGAGCCCTTGGTATCAGCTCCTCATTTTTCCCCCTCGCTCCCCAACCCTCCCTTCTTCCTCAACCCTTGATAATGTATAAATTGTTATTATTTTTTGATGTCTTACACTGTCTGATGTCTCCCACTTGTCTGTTTCCATCCCCCAGGGAGGGGTTATATGTAGAT